TGGTCGTCGGGGGGGGGGGGGGAGGACAAGATGGGGTTCGTGTCTGGCTACAACATCCCAAAAAGATACAGTTTACATAAATTTCTATCAATGCCTTCAACAATCAACAATTCACTCAAATGGTAGGCAGAGCCTTATAACTTCTACTGGATTCCCCTTAACTCAGCCCACTTGGACACCTACACTGTTCTTAGCATATAGTCTCCTCTTAAACCCATGCTACATACCAACTTACTGAGCACAGAGTGATCAGAAATACCTATTCACATTTCCTACCAGTGAGCAAAGATAAACATGTAAAGATTCTGATTGACAATTTTGCATGTATGTTCTGCATAAACTGCAAGGAAGAAGCAAGATCACCATCCCTGTGTGTTGAGGCAGTGAAACTATAGATCTGGTGCATTCTAGCATCTAAGCAACCTACCTCCCTAGCATACAGATGACTACAGTGGCTATGCTAAGCAGAAAATTTTCCCAAGATCATAAGTTGGAAGTAAACACTACCATCCTTTGCAGTATATTCATACATTGGGGAACTCCAAAGACAGATCTGTTTGCCGCAGTCAAAAACAAGAAATGTTCTCAGTTCTGCTCCAGAGCAAGCTTTCAATGATGCTTTTTTCCTCAGATGGAATTGGCATCTCTTACATATGTTTCCACCAATTTCACTAATATCCAAAGTGATAATTAAGACAAATAATCAACCAGAGTTATTCTTATAGTTTCAATGTGGCCAAGACAGATATGTTTTCCATACCTTTTTCAGATGGCAATGTGTCTATTAGTGACTCTCCACCCCATTTTTCATATTCTTTCTCAAGAGGCAGGCCAGATTTGTCACCCAAATATGCAAGGTCTCTGTGTTACTAGAGACTCAGCAACACCATTAATTATAAATGATTTAGCCGCCTTTTGGATCTGAGGGATGGTAAATGTCTCTGCCCCAGAAGTGAGATTCCCCTGATATGCCGTATCTTAATCACCAGATTGATCTTAATCCAATAATGACAGACTACAAAACTAGTTTAACCAATATATTGTAAAATTTGGAACACAGCATAAAATAAACTGTGATAACAGTAACCCCAAATTGCTCAGTATTGTAAAACCAACCCACACCTGCTGAAAGAAAGAAGACAGAAAAGATCCCAATAACAAAGGTAAGTAAACCTTACAGTCTGTAATGACTATGGTAGCTGAGGGGAAGGAGAGGCCTACAACCTACTACTCTTGAGCTGATTTAGAGCTCCCTGGGAGGAGCGCTAGGGCAATCCCTCATAGATGCCTTTGATGTCATAGATGTTAAAGGAGGATCAGCGATACTGTCT